AGAGGCAGCAAGCAGTGCCCGTTGAAACATCCGCAAAAGGTAAGCTCCTGGGTCTCAGAGCAGGGTAAAGAAGGGCAGAGAGTGAGTATGAAGAGGCAAATGGAAAATATCTGGCCCAGGGCACATCTGGATTTTTAGCAGAGACACACGTTCCTCATCACATTTTTTCAATCTGGATGGGTGTGTTTTTGTAATCTGTGGAGCAATGTGAGTCCATTCCCATCCAAGGAGGGACTTGATGCTGTATGTTTTATATCATGTCAATAATGCATTATAGCAAGTGGGGCGGGGGTATGATGGAAGGTGTGGGGGACAGAGACAATGCTGATAGCTTCTTGATTAGCAGGTGGGTAGAAAGAAAGTCGGAGACTGAATGGCGTAGCCAGATCCATCAAGTGAAAGCTCAAGGTTCATGTATATCATTTGTGAAGTAGTAGAACATTTGAAGGTTGACTGTGATAAATTAAAGATGCATGTCGTAATTTCCAGAACCATTGTAATCACCCAATGGGGTCTTCCTGCCACTGCACAGACAAAGTCAATTTACTGAGACCATGACATTACAATAAAGAAAGAGTTTAATTGGCATGGACCAGCCATACCACATGGGAGATTGTTATCAAATCAATATCCCTGAACATTTGGAGGCTAGAGTTTTTCAAGGATAGTTGGGAATGGGTGCTGCTGATTGGTTGGAGACACGATCATAGGGGTGTGGAAAATGGTCCTAGTGCACCAAGTCTGCTACAGGATTGGGGCCACAAGAGCAGTTGGGCCAAGAGTCATGGGTATCCAGTCATCAAAAATGCAAAAGCCTGAAAGGACATGTCAAAAGTCCAATCTTATGTTTTATAATAATAATGTTATCTGCTGGAGTAATTGGGGAAGTTGCCAATCTTGTGACTTTTGGAATAATGGATGGGAATTGTTTATACCTACACCTTAGCAGACTACAAACCCCTTTCATCCTCCTAACCTGGTGGCCTTTCATTAGGTTTATAAGGTGATTTAGTTTTAGGGAAAGGCTCTTATCATCTAAACTATAACCTAATTTTCTCCCAGAGTTAGCTTAGCCCAAGCCCAGGAATGACCAGAGGCAGTTTGGAGGTTAAAGGCAAGATAGGGGTTGGTTAGATCAGATCTCTTTCATTCTTGTAATTTTCTCGTTATCATTTTCACAAAGCTGGTTTCACTCTAAAGTCCCCCCTAAATCTTTACACAATGATAGAAATGTTCTAGATTTGTGCTATCCAGTTGGTAGCTGCTTGCCACATAGAGCATAGCCCTAGAGTGTAAGGACAAATCTAAACGGGAAAAAATTCAATTTTCCCTGGTGTAAAAATAGAAAAACTTTCCCTCCCTGTCTCTCATCTCTTTTCTTAGAGCATTTAGTTTAAAAAACTTGTGGTTGCTAATTATTTCTCTTTCTCCTTTGCCAGCTTCATAAGGAGGGATGTCTTTCTGAAGGACCTGGGGCTGTCTCTTTGAAATGTTGACATCAAAGAAGCTAGCACCCCTATCTTCCCATCTCCATGGGTGCTGGCTCCAAATCCTAACTAGCTACCTGTCAGAGTGCTCTAAGAAGTTTTATTATTTCTTTGAATAAAGGCAATTAGCAAACACAATAGCCACCTCAATTACCAGGTGAATTTAAGACGAGCTATGTATGACAAACGGTGCTGTCAAATCCTCTCACTTGAGGACAAGCTATAGTTTATCTTGTGAACAGGTATGTTCTAAATGGCTATATAAAAAGCAAGAACTTTTAGTCTTTGCAATCTCTTTAGGAGCTACCTATGATGTGCCTCGCCTTCCAGGTTTAATGCTTATTCAATAATAAAACTACTTTCTTTCTCTTTTACTTTGTGGATAGGTTTCTTAGGTTGACAGGAAATCTTGTTATATTTCCTCAACAAGAGCAACCAATTAAAAAGTAAACACAAGGTGGTGTAGGGGAAAGGTCAGTAGAGGTGCTACAGTGGAATCCTAAAACATGCGGTACACAAAAGAAGTCAGGAAACAACAGTGGAGAAAAACAAAAAACCAACGAAAACCCGGATGGACAAGGAGAAAACAAATACCAAGATGGAAGCTTAAACTTATCCATATAAATAATTGCTGCAAAACCTTCCATTAAAAGTCAGATATGTCAAAATGGGAAAAGGCAAGACCTACTTGTATATTGTTTACAAAATGTACTATAAAGGCACAGACAGGTGGCAAGCCAAAGGATCAAAAAGATATACCACAGAAGCACTAACCATAAGAAGGCTGGATTAATGCTAGGTAAAGTGGATTTCAGGACAAAGAATTTATTAAAAGAAAAACTTCAGACAAATTAAATTTTACAAAGTTGGCTGGGTGTGGTGGCTCATACCTGTAATTCCAGGAATTTGGGAGGCTGAGGCAGGTGGATCACTTGAGGCCAGGAGTTTGAGACCAGCCTGGGCAACATGAGGAAACCTTATCTCTACTAAAAAAAAAAATAATACAAAAATTAGCCTGGTGTGGTGGCGTGTGCCTGTAATCCCAGCTACTCGGGAGGCTGGGGCAGGAGAATCACTTGAGCCCGGGAGGCAGAGGTTGCAGTGAGCCAAGATCCCACCACTGCACTCCAGCCTGGGTGACAGAGTGAGACTCTATCTTCAAAATAAAAATAAATAAATAGGTAAATAAACAAATATATTTTACAAACTTTAATTGAGCAAAAAACAATTCACAGATTGGGCAGCCCCTAAACCAGAGTAGATGCAGAACCACGCTGGCGCTGCTGCGTGTCCACAGAGGATTTATGGATGGAGAAAGGAAGTGAGGTACAGAAATAGCGGGACTGGTTACAGCTCAGGTTTTGCCTTATTTGAATGCAATGTGAACAGTTGGCCGCCTGTGAGTGGTTGAAGTATTGTGGCTGTGATTGCCTGAGACAAGAGTAGTTTAATATGTTTACACATCTAGTTAGGTTTACAGTTCACTAAGTATGGAGAAACCTTCAGGTCAAACTTAAAATTCGTAAGGGGGGCTGGGTGTGGTGCCACGTGCCTGTAATTCCAGTGCTTTGGGAGGCTGAGGTGGACGATTACCTGAGGTAGGGAGTTCGAGACCAGTTTGGCCAACATAGAGAAACCCCCATCCCGACTAAAAATACAAAATTAGCCAGGCATAGCGGCACATGTCTGTAATCCCAGCTACTCGGGAGGCTGAGGCAGTTTACTCGCTTGAACCCAGGAGGCAAAGGTTGTGGCGAGCTGAGATTGCACCATTGCACTCCAGCCTGGGCAACAAGAGCAAAATTCCGTCTCAAAAAAAAAAAAAAGAATGTAAGCAGGCAGCTTTAGGCTATAAGTAATTAGCAGTTGTAAAGAGATGAAGAGGCATTTCATAATGATAAAAATATCAGTTCTTCAGGAACACAGTAATCTTAAATGTGTTTGTACCTAATAACACAGGCAAAAAGTTTCAAAACACAGGAAGCAAAAACAGAAAAAATTAAAGGGGGAAATAGACAAAGCCACACTTGGGAGACTTCAACACTGTTCTCTTAGCCATTAATAGAAAAAGTAGACAAAGTAATTGGGAACGATATAGAAGATTAAAATGAAACATATAATGAAACTAAGAAATTTTTGTCCGTTAAGAAAGTCAGATTTAATGATCTGAAATGTCTCATTTTTAGGTGATGCTTGGTTAGCAACGTACTATTGTAGACTTTTTGATGTGGTGGTGTTTGGAATATGGTCTGTAGAGATCAGCCAGCATCAGCTGATTGGAGCGGGAACTGAAGTCACAGGAATAAAACAGTCTGCATGCTTTAGGACGTCCTGATGCACCAGTGTTGTGAAATCTTCATTCATGAGACATTCCAGTTTACCAGCAGTGTAGACTAGAATATGCTACACCTCCCAAAATATTTTTTTAGTATAAGGATTATTTTGAGAAACAACAGATGAAGGAAAAGCTCTGAAGACAGAAGGTAAGTTTATTGTTTGTTAAGGAATTTACATTTATAAAGGAAATGTCCATTTATAAGGTTGTCTCCCTCTGTACCAGACACAGGGATGATGATAAATGACAAGGACATTGACTTAAATCTGTATAACAAATCTTACCCAAGCTTACCAGACTTTTCCTGGTCACCTTCCATTCGTTTCCACTGCCCAAAAGCCCCCAATCCCTTTTCCTTTGTTTTAGACCAAGTTGGTATATTGCTAAATTAAACTAAATTTTGGCTTGAGGCTGCCTCCATACCTCGAGTCCCCACATGACAAACTGCAACCTAGCCTGGTACATAAATGAACTGACAGCCTAACTTAGGAGTGTACTTTTGTAACACATAGCTGAGTGTCAATCAGTCACAGCAACTGAGTTCAGCCAGTCACTGGCTGCCAACTGATCAGCCCACCTCCGAATAAGGCAAAGGCTCAGCTGTAACCAATCAAGCGGCTTCCCGACCTCACTTCCATTTTCTGTCTATAAATACTGCCTGCCCACCTTGCAGAACGGAGTTCTCTGAACGTTTCTACTTCCAGGGCAGCCCAATTTTGTGAATCATTCTTTGCCTAATTAAGCTGTTAGATTTAATTTGTTTAAAGCTCTTCTTTTAACATTTTACACCCAAGTTCTAACCACCCCTTTAAGCTACTCATCCCAGTTACTCCAAAGCATGCATGAGACACATGTTAATAGACTAATGTCTGTTTTTCTCTTATTAATCTGTTTGTTACAGAGCCCCGGCCGGGGACTAGAAGAAAAAGATTTTTTTTCTTCTCTGACAGCAGCAACTCTGATCTTTTCCCTTATAAACTATGACAAGCAATTAAGCCTCTCAAACATTGGTAGATTGATTCCCTTTGGGTTAGATACACTAGCCTCCGGCCAAACCCAACAGATTTCTCCAGTGTTACTCTGGGCAGAATGCAATCTTTAATTCCTTAGGAACAAGGTTGCCAGAGTTGGCAAACGAAAATGCCAAGTACCCAGATAAATTTGAATTTTAGATAGTTGATAACTTTTTTTATTTCAAGCAGATATAATTAAATACCAAAGTCCAAGAAATACCTGCCTTTAGGGCACTCTCCCTAACAACTGAGCTTTATTCCTTGTAAAATATAATAGAGAAATAAAAACACATAGGGAAAGGGTCACTCTAAAGGTAGTTTTTTTATTTAAATATTTTATGACACACATACACATATAATCTCTCCCCAAAAAACAAATGTAAAACTAATACAAATCACTTTTTCAGGAACAAAGAAAATCATTTAGAAAACGTGATTATGCTACAAAGGGCAGGTTAGGTTTCTGAGGCTGTTCAAGGAGGAAGCTTAAGACCAACTTTTGTTTGTTTTGAGTCTGTGGGTGATATTTACATTTTCACATACTAGTGATATTCCTGTTGCATATCTGGCAAAATCAAACTGTTAGTAAGTCTACAATAATACTAATAAAAGAAACAACAATTACTAGAAAGAGAGTAAACAATTCTAGATCATGGAAGCGTAACTTCCATTTAAGCTATAGACGTAGATCTCTAAAAATATGTGCCCTGATCTATGCACAGTTAGTGGGAGCACACTGTATAAATACTTTGCATAACACCATTCAACAATTTTTTTAAAGTCTGCAAAATTTTAAAGTCACTTCCCTAGCAAAATATCTTCAGTCCAGAAATTAGTCTTTGAAAATTATGAAAATTATTGCGTTGCGGGAAATATTTATATAAATTATTACGGATAATGCACATATATATTGAAATATTATTATTTCTAGGAGCAATAATCACCTATTTAGGAGCGAGGCAGCCCACATAATTTGTAAAAAAATTAACTTGTAGAAAAGAAAGGCAAGGATGTTGTGCAAAATCAAGTCAATTATCTGAGGTTTTTATAATATAATATTGAGTACTTACGTACTAAGTCACACCCGGCCAGTCAACAACTGAGAGATCAAAATAAAATCATAATTTCAAAGACAGAATTACAGAAATATAGGACCTTTTGAGATTTTTGGCAATTGTAAACAAAAAAGAATGGTTTGTACAATTCAGTGTAATTCTACAGTTATTTGGCACCCATGTTAGGCACTGAGGATACACAGCAGTGAATGGTTCCTACCACAACTAGAAAACATGGCTGGTTAATGCAGCTGCACTAAATTGCAGCTGTTTAGAAGATAATCTATCCTGAGGTTGTTTTTTAAATGTATACGATTACTATAAAAAGTAAAATTATTTTATATTTAAAAATTTTGCTTTGGATTATTCAACTGAATTTGGAGTATTCAACATTTTCATGGCAGTTGAGACAAGAGGTATAATGCTATTTTTAAGACTATACAGTATGTATGTGCACACACACACACAGAGTCATGTACACAGAAACATAACAATGTGTATTCTTATCATCAGTGTTCTAAAATTTAATGAATCACACACAGATGAAAAGGGTTCAAGTCTTAAGGAAAACCAAAACTGGTGCCCAGACTGTGCATATATCTTTGGATCAATGAGGTGTTGAAAATCTGCTACATGCAATAAAGTACAGAATACGGAACATCAATGTTAAATGTTAATATGGTAGGCAAAGAGACCCAATCAGTTTCCTGGGTTGCTTTACTGGACGGAGGATGAACTGTACACTCTGTTAATTTGGTAAGTTCTCAGAAGCCAGATTGACTGTATCTTGCTTTGTCAGGATTCCCTGCATAGCTCACTAAAGGCACCTAAGAAGCAGCATCATCTCTATGTCCTCAGTAAATCATGGAGCATTTCTAAAATACACTCCTGGAAGCAGAGGCAGTGTGGTCTTTTGTATCTCAGCGACTAAGAAAAATCTAAGGCTCAATGTGTATGTGTATCTGTGTCTGTAAGCTCATGAAAAATCAGGTATACTGGAAACATGAAATTAGTCACTGCTAATTAAACTCTGGGTCAGTTTGCGGCTGACTGCTGTTTAGGAGTAAGAATGCTGTACAGTGCTATGTTTGGTGACTCTGGTGGAAGATGTGGTTATGGTAGAATTAGAGTGACCAGATTCCTTTAAACCAAAATCTGGCAGGGGGCCAGGGACTCCAGCTCCAGACACCATGGTGTTCCTAACCCTCATAGAGTTTTCAGTGGGAATCAGATAACTGGATTGCAGAGTGGAAGCAGGTGCTAGAACTCTTTCTGTCACTGTCACATTCTGTCCCACTGCTAAATTAGGCATGGCCAGAGTCGGCTGCACACCTGAGCTGGGGGCAAGGAAGCTCTCTCTTTCCCTCACCATGACATAATGTGCATCTTGCAGATGCTGGGTGCCTTCCAGAGGATTCAATCCACCCCCATGAGGCTGTATTACTCTTTCAGTAACCACAACTGTACCTTCATTAGCATAAGGCTGATCTACCAAAGTAGAAGCTGGAGCATATACCCTCTCTGTCACAATAAGGCTCTGTGGCTGTCTAGGACCCAGGTTCACAGTGCTTGGTGGCATAGTGGAACCTGTGGCATAGGAAGCTTCTGTTGCCATCATATTACCAGAAGCCACTGGGTCAGGAAGAGGTGTAGCTACCTTTTGAGCCTGCCTAGAAGACACGGATCTTTCAGTGACTATTCCCTGAGTTACTTTCTCTGCATTTGTTTCTTGCAAAGATTTTGGAACCGGGAAGCTACTGCCAGAGGAGGTATTCTCTGAATTAACCATAGTTTGCTCATAGAGTGAACGTGAAGCTGTGTTCATACCTGCTTCTGTGGCAGGTTTTTGCCTCTGCTCAATTTCCATATCTATTTTTTGACCCAGGCAAACTTCAGCTAGCGTCTTGAATTTAAGTCCCAAGTCATCTAAGAAGTGGTCATCTAGCTCTCCTTCAATAAAACTGCAACAGCCAATAGAAGCATTCAGAGATTCAGTTTCTTCCTGAGAATAAACCAGAAGGCAATCTTTGGCTATGTGATTTTCATCTTCCTCAGTGTAAGAGGCCGCTTTCTAAAATGAAAACAAAATGAAACAAACACAAAACAAATATTAGCAATACAAATTCATTTAAAAACAAGACGATATTCCTGTTGAAAAGGCACTAATGTGAAGTGGATTACAAAGATCTATCAGGGAAACACAAATTGAGAGAGATCCTGTGACACAACTAGCCTGTATTCTTAAAAAATATTAATATCAGGGAAAAAACAGAAAGGCAGAGAGGACTGTTTCAGTTTAAAGAAGACTAAAGTGTCAGGACAACTTAATGGAATGCAAGACTCTGAAAAAACAAAATTGCTATAAAAGTGTGATAGTTGGCTACACTGAAATGTGGACTGTGTCAATGGTAAAGTTCTACATTTGTTAACTGTACTACAGTGATGTAAGAGAATGAGTGTGAATGTGTGTCAGTGAGACAGAGAGAGAATGGAAAAGCAAATAGCAAATGTGGCAAAATGTTAATAATTGGGTTCAGAATTTCTACCATTCTTGCAAATTTTCTAATAACTTTGAAATTACTTCTAAATCAAAAGTTAGTACATACATACATAACCAAAAATGACTGGAGCAGGATTCGAGTGGAGAGGGAAAACCTATCAAAATAAAACAAATAGGACGCTAGAATTGAGCTTAGCAGTGAGACAGGAAAGGCCAAGATGTGGTTTTCCTTGACACCAACCACATCCCCATTAAGCTATACTTGGAGGTGGGTGAAGGATGGTATGAAAGAAGGGAGGGTGGAAAGGAGCAGAAAGTGGGAAAGCACACTAATAATTTGCAAATTTAGAAGACAGGGGACAGAAGCAACTTGCTTTCCTCAGTGGAAGCCCCTCCCCTTACTACTCTCTAGGGCCCTTCAGATGCTGTATATTCCAACTCTGCCCATTCTCATGGGAGCACAAGGCCTTGTTCTCAAGAAAACCACCCAGTCCTGCTTTTTTTTTAAATTATTCTGACTATGTCTGTAGGATCTGTAGTAATGTTTTTTATTTCATTTCTGATATCCATAGTTTGTGTTTATTCTTTTAATATCCTAGTCTGGTAAAAGGTTTATCAATTTTATTGACCTTTTTAAATAATCGCTTTGTGGTTTCAATGTTTTTTTTTTTTTTCTTCTATTACTTTTTGCTAAGTATTTCATTGATTTCTGCTCTAAAATTCATTATTACCTTATTTCTGCTTGTTTTGAGTTTAATTTGCTCTTCCAACTTTTGAGGGTAGAAGCTTAGGTCACTGATATGAGACCCATCTTCTAATATAACCATTTTTGCTACAATTTCCCTTTAAGCACCACTTCAGTAGTGCCCCACAAATTTTCATAAAGTGTAATTTAATTTGCAGTCATGTGTATTTATAAATATTTGAGTATATTTTATATATTACTTTGTTACTGATCTCTGGTTTTATTTTATTTTTGTCATCGAAGTACATTGTATAACTGCAATTCTTTAAAGTTATTTACAATTATTTTATGTTCTAGAATATAGTCTGTATCAAAAAGCATGTGTATTCTGCTTCTGTTGCATAGAGTGTTCTGTCAATGTCAACGAGATCCATTTGGTTGATAATACTAAGTTTTCTATATGCTTACTGATTCTGTCTACTTGTTCTTTCATTTACTAATAGAACATGTTGAACTCTCTAACTATAATTATGAATTTGTCTGCTTCTCTATCAGTTCTGTTTTTGCTTTAAGTTTTAATAATTTATTATTAGGTTCTGATATATTTAGGAGTTTCGGACCTCCTGATGAATTGGCCCATTTTTCATTATGAACTATCCCTCATTATTCCTGGTAATAATCCTTGTTCTGAAGTATAGTTATCTCAATGTTATTATTATTATTATTTTTAGACAGAGTTTCTGTTGCCTAGGCTGGAGTGCAGTGGTATGATCACAGCTCACAGCATCCTTGGCTTCCCAGGCTCAAGTGATCCTCCTGCCTCAGCCTCCTGAGTAGCTGTGACTATAGGTGTGTGCCAGGATGCCCGGCTAATTTTTTGTGTTTTTGGAGAGTGAGGGTTTCACCATATTACCCAAACTGGGCTTGAACTTCTGGGCTCAAGTGATCAGCCTGCCTTGGCCTCCCGTGGTGCTGGAATCATAGGCATGAGCCACTGTGCCTGACCTCTACATCATATTTTTATTTTCAGTCCTGCTTCTAATTCCTAATTCTAGCATGAGCTTCCTTACTGCATCTAATCATCTTCCTGCAACTTTTCTCATCATTTTTTGGTAGACTCTCAGAATAGCAAAGCCAAGTACTCTCATGCAGAAGGTAAAATTTAAATGGACTTAATAGATTGTATTTTTTGGGTTATATATTCTCTGTCTCTCCTGCAGGACTCATCCCTACCAAGTCTGCTACTTCAGGGATAGAACTTTCTGACCCACTGGCATCTGTCTTGGTCATGTAACTTGTTTTGGTCAATGAAATGTGAGTGTATAAAGCTGGAGGCTTTAAGAGCCATTGCCTGGTTCTGCCTTGCTCTTTTCTCTGGGCCACAAGGACGGCAGCTTCCCAGGTCTGATCTGCTCTCTCAGAGCATCTTGGAATGAAGACATCATGAAGCAGAGCAGAGCTGAGCTGACTGGCAAAAACACAACTGTAAGTGAGAAACATGCCTATGTGAGAACTAAGATTGTGGGCTCACTTGTTACTGCAGCATAACTTAGCTAACACCAACTGATTTAGTGGGCCCCATTTCTCTTTCCTTATTGCCTATAAGAATTCCCTGGAGAAAGAAAAAAACCCCAAAGTCTCATTTGGATCCAAGGCAATGATTACCCTAATAATATTGCATTCACATATAAATGTCCCCCCACCCCAATACATAAAACCAATCCTTACATCAGTGAAATAATTTCTTAAGAATTCTTCATTCAGTGCAACAGCAGCTGTCTGAGCTCCAGCCACGTCTCTGGAAGCCCCTGTGGCTCTTGTGTTCTTCATGGTTTCCTTGCTTATGATAGCCCCTGTGGTCCCTGTAGCCTGGGTAGCTCTAACAGAAAGCAGGCTTCTGTGTTCTTCCCACCTTCCATCCAGCTCAGACATCTCACGCTGCTCTTTGGCAAAGGAACCAGAGCTACTTTCTTTCACGGCAGCTTCCTTGGCCATACCTCCTACTCCATTTCTTCCTGCTAGACCGTCCCTTTGATCCACCGGCAGAAATGATGGCACCACCTGTGAGAGGAAACACAGCTGAGAACTGAGTCAGGAAGATGGAGGGGGACTCCTTCATCCTTGGTAGAAGGATCTGAGCCAAGTAGGCATAGGAAGATATAAGCTATTTCCACAGAGGCCAATTAGAAAAAACCTTTTGGGTTGAATAACTTATATAAGTCTTATGAAGATTTTCTTTCTTCTTGTTTTATAGCTGGATATAACCCAAAGAGGAAACAAGGCCCAAACAGTCACATAGAGTCTCAGCTCCTTTACTCTATGTGCACCAATGGCATTCCAACCTTCCTCTGCAGTTTGATACCTTCTTCTATAGTTATAGAATTTTTAATTTTGTTTTTAACTGGATCCATGGCCACACAAAATAAAGAGTATTTCCAAGCCTCTGATACCACTAGGTATAGCCACCTGACTAAGCTGTGGTCAATGTGAATTAAGCAGAAATGTACGCGAGTTCTGGGAAGTGTGCTTAAAGAGCATTCTTCACTTTTCTCCCATTTGCTGGTTAGAATGTGGGGACGGCAGCTACGTAGCTAGCACTGACACATGAGGACAGTGTGGGAATGGAACTCAACCATGGAGGAAAAACAAGGAAGAGGGGGCCAGGGACCACACTGCGGAGGAATCATCAATATGTTGACTTTGGACTGCCCATTTTACATTTAAGCCACTATTATTCTGAGTTCTCTGCCACTTGATGCTAAATTCTATCCTATTAGAAATGATGCTCATAACAGATGGTGATGAGCGGTACAGGGTGAAGATGCAACAGACAAAGGGATATGGCTATGAAGTCATTAGGAAAGTGGGCTTTGCAACATTTTACAACTGTCATGGGGGTTGTGGGTTACCTCTGCAAACCCTGTGCATTGAGGGGAATGGAAATGAAGCAGTTCCTGGTTGTGAAAACTGCCCATTTAATGCTGGGACAAAAGACTTAGATCCCTACACACACTTGCTCTTCCTGAACCTTGCTCTACATTCTCTACAGCATGGGAAGTGTCACAACAGAGTAAAACCATCTCAATTCTGCCCCAGCAACAAACACAAAATATGCTTTCATTTGAACCCTTTGCTTAACAAAGGCATGTGAGTGAAATCCATAGTGATCACTTTACTCACTCTACCAAAAATGTAAGAAACACTTCCCTAGCGCCTTTAAAACCCAAAAAGAAGACCAGTCATATTGACATCTGATCCACTGACCTTGTCTTCAGGTGGCGCTCCTTCATTATTCCAAGGATGCAGCATCTCTATGGTGCCAGGTATGGGGGTAAAGCCTTTGGCACCCTTTCCGCAATGGCACATCAGCAGTAAAAGTGGTACCACTGTACAGACACAAAATGGAACACAGATAAGGTTAATCCTGACAATTTCTAAATCAGAATTTGCATGCCCTTCCTGGAGTTGTCTTCACTTATCTGCAGCCCTATTTTTCTTTTGTTAACCCTGATCCAACCGTACCAAGCTGTTTGGGGTGAGTTACTCCAAAGCTCGAAGGCAGAATGAGGGAGTCGTACAGATTCTAGGCCTTGTTCATCAAAAAGAGGCTGTCTGTGGATGCTGAGTGGAACACCAAGACTATGTCAGATGGAATCCAAATCATCCAAACCAGCTTAAAGATTAAATTTTTTAAAACCATGGTCCAATTAAAAAAAAAAATCACTGTCCCCAAAATATATGTGCTAATAATAATAGTGATTAGAAATAATAAAGTGAAATGTGTAACAATTTCAGAGCTCTCTCCTTAGATTTTATTTCACCCCTAGGAGAAAGCAAAGACCAAGGTTGACCCCTTGATCAATGCAGCAAAGAATTAAACACATCTGCACGCCCATCTGCCACTCCAGCTTGGCAGCTTCCAATGATGAACTGACTAGTGCCTAGATTTCGTTTTTATGTAAAACAGTCAACAGCACATCAACTATAGCTACTATGACTAAGAAGAAGATTGAAATCAGCCAGTGGCAATTCAACAATTTTAACAAACATTCAGCAAGTGTCCATTATGTGCCAAGTACATTAGGCTCCAGGGAATCTGAGATGAGAAAGCAGTGCAAGGAATCCATGAGCAAAAGATACAGTCCCTGCTTCAGTACCTACCTACACACTTGGTAAGCTGAGACAAGTCATTTACCATTATGTATCTGTATATGTATCTGTAACATGGAGATAATTGCATAAAAGTACATGGCAAACTGTTGAGTGCTGTGCATTCAACTGAACATCTACCAATGGCTCTAACACAGCAGTCCCCAGCCATTTTCGCACCAGGGACTGGTTTCATGAAAGACAGCTTTTCCACAGGGAGGTTGGGGGTATGGTGGGGTGGTTTTGGGATGATTCAAGTGCATTACATTTATTGTACACTTTATTTCTATTATTATTACATTGTAATATATAATGAAATAATTATACAAATCATCATAATGTAGAATTGGTGGGAGCCCTGACCTTATTTTCCTGCAACTAGATGGTCCCATCTCCGGGTAATGGGAGACAGTGACAGAATCAGGCATTAGATTCTCATAAGGAGCATGCAACCTAGATCCCTTGCATGTGTAGTTCCCAGTAGAGTTTGGGCTCCTGTAAGAATTGAATGCCACCACTGATCTGACAGGGAGCAGAGCTCAAGTGGTAACACAAGCAATGGGGAGCAGCTGTAAATACAGATGAAGCTTCACTCACTCATCCACCGCTCACCTCCTGCTGTGTGTCCTGGTTCCTAACAGGACATGATCTGGTGTTGGTCTGTGGCCTGGGGGTTGGGGACTCCTTGTCTAACAGGCCCTTCCTCTGTCACTGCACCAGCGTCAGCTGCCTTGGAGGTGGCCCTCTGCCCATGCTCAGTGGTCAGGTAGAGTGGTATTTCATATGACCCCAGGATGCAGTCCCTTGTCCTTTTATAAAAGGAAACCTGAGGTCTTTGGAGGTTGGGTAGGGCAAGCAGGACTGGCTGAGAACATCTTGGGGTCAGGAATCACAGGATGTGCTCAGAGGGTCTGCCTACTTTTGGTGCTGGTGAAGAAACAAGCCAAGTGGGGGATTTCAGGGAGGTGGAGCTCTGAAATACAAAGCAGGATCGACTGGAATAAGCTGGGTTTGCAAAAAACCTTGTATCCATAACTCCAAGTCATGCAACAAATCTTTTCTAATGCTTACTATATGCAAGGCTGTGTTCCAGGCACTGGGAATACAGCAGTGAAGAGAACAGACAGCATGCTGCCCTCACAGAGCTCACTGAAATGGGAATAACTGCGAAGTTTATGCCAAAAAGTAGTTCCTAAGTTACTGAAATCAGAAAATGATATACATTTATAAAACAAAATTCTGAAGAGTCCTATATTATGCTTTGGTGATCTGTCAATCATAAGTTGTTTCCCTGTTCACCCTCAAAGCATTCTAGTGTGGTTGAAGAATAACTGTGAAGAAATCAATGACTACCATAGTAACACATCTCTAGTAGTGCACTCAAATTCCTAAAAGCACTACAGAGTGGCTTGTAAAGACTTACACAGCAGAAGCAGAAAGGCCAAAATCATGAGCGCAATTGCTGCAGGTCCCAGGCCCACATAGGAGTCACGGTGCGCTCCCACACAGCCACTGCCATGCAGACACTCACAAACCGTGAGTGTAAGGATCTGCTTTTCAGGGCAACTGAAACCCTGATTGTCTGAAATCAGGAACTGAATTTCACTTCTCCCAAGCTTTTTCTCGCTTTGCTGCAGCAGCACACTGGTACCTACAAGGTTGGGAGGCAGAAGGAAATAAAAAGGAATGATTACCAAGGATGAGACAACATTAAATTCCAGAAATGTTCCGTCATTGCTGATTATATTTAGCTCCAATCAGATACTTTCCTCTTCCTTCACTTCTCATTGAAGTGTGCTCCTTAAAATTTGTCCATAGGCCCTGAACATGCAGTTTAAATAGCAAAGGGTCAGACTTGGATGCCTTACTTTCATCATGATTAATTGTAACCAATGTATGTAGGTCTAGGAGATGCTAGGAACTGTTCTATATACTGGGAATACAGTGACAAACAAGTGGTGAGTTAAATAACATTTCTACTCAATGACCTTTATTTTACCATTTCTTTTTTGTTTGTTGGTTGGTTTTAGACAAAGTTTCGCTCTCGTTGCCCAGGCTGGAGTGCAATGGCGTGATCTCGGCTCACCGCAAACTCCGCTTCCCAGGTTCAAGTGATTCTCCTGCCTCAGCCTCCCGAGTAGCTGGGATTACAGGCATGTGCCATCACACTGGGCTAATTTTTGTATTTTTAGTAGAGATGGGGTGTCTCCATATTGGTCAGGCTGCTCTCGAACTCCTGACCTCAGGTGATCTGCCCACCTCGGCCTCCCAAAGCATTGGGATTACAGGTGTGAGCCACTGTGCCTGGCCTATTTTACCATTTCTTAACAAAAAAAATTTTATTAAGGCAATTTTTCAAACATAGTAATAGAAGAGCATAACCCCCACTATCCATCCTCAGCTTTAATCATTTTCAACAATGGGCTGATCTTGTTTTCTCTAGTCCCTTCTTTTTTTTGTTCTCAACACTATATATATCCAAAATAGAAAAAAATTCAAACCTACAGAAAAGTTGAAAGAATATTTTAGTGAATATTAACAAACCCTTCGCTAATTGTTCACATTTTTGCAACAATACTTTCTTGCCCTCTATATACTCACTTTTTCTCTTTCTTTTTATTTTTTAAAGTTTTTAAACTATTTCAAGGTAAGTTAGAGATAGCAGCATGACATTCTTCAGCATACAGCTTCTAAGATCAAAGAACATTAACACTCTTAAACATTATTACTACTTTCTGAGATGGAGTCTCATTCTGTTGCCCAGGCTGGAATGCAGTGGTGCCATCTTGGCTCACTGCAACCTCTGCCTCCTAGGTTCAAGTGATTACAGGCACCCCTCACCATGCTAGCTAATTTTAAACTTTTGTATTTTTAGTAGAGATGGGGTTTCATCATGTTGGCCAGGCTGGTCTTGAACTCCTGACATCAAGTGATCCACCTGCTTCAGCATCCCAAAGTGCTGGGATTACGGACGTGGACCACCACACCCGACTTCAACTTATTATTGATAATACTCTCTAATACATAACTTGATATACTTATAAGTTAAATTTATTAGAATTTTAGAGTATAAGGATCATAGGGAGGCTTTGTTAATTCAGATCATTGAAATACGTAAGAAAGGAAACAAAATGTATTAAATCTGTAAATACAGTTTAAAATATTGATGGTGTTTAATTTGTTAATTGGACTAAACATTATTCAAAGCCTCTTAAAATGATTTCAAACATTTGCTAGACTTAATAAAGCTGTAGATTAAAAAAAAAAAAACCTGATCATTGTCTTTGAAATTTTTCTGAAATGAACCCTAATTGTTTAAAACAAAATAGTTTTCTGGACAGACTTTTCTGCATTCAAAACCACCCTGAAGGACATCTGAAAACTCATATCAACACTTCATATGGTCCAAGTGCCTCGATGTCCTGGATATGGACATACGGACATGTCCACTGGCATGGAGAAGTAGGGGGAATCAGACAACCCCGATGTCATGTTGTTTCTTTCTATCATGTTCTAGCTTTGAGCTTTACTTACCTCCAGTGAAATTAAGGTATCCTCAGCTTTAATCAGGGAATAATGTTAGAAGTAAGGATTAAATATGGTAATATATAGGATGAGCTAGCAGATTTACCTGACACATAGCAAGTGTTCAATAAATGCTGCTTCAAATGGAATTATTGTTACTACACTTCAAGAGTTTTAGAAGACACCTACTACGATTGTGGTACTGAGAAAGGCTTGGTACTCCTCACCTCACCAGACAAAACTACTTCAAGAGCTATTTAGAGAATACCAGTTACCTTTAAGACATTTTACATTATTTTTCTTCTCTCTATAAGCATATGAAAGATACTATAAGCCTATAGGTTCAGGACCTTATTTCAAAACTCCTTTAAAAAACTATACTGGAAACATAATTTATGAGAAGAAATACAACTTACAAATATTTTAGATATCTAGCATGCTTAATATTTGGATTTCAGGGTAGTCCAGTGATTTAGCTTACTTTCTTGGCGTACTATTTTCCATTTTTCTGCCATTCCAGGTGGTTTGTCAATGACAGAGAACCTGAAAGGGCCACTGTTTGGATATCCATCCAGGTCCTCTGCAGTGACGTTCACATACTGCGCGCCGTTACAGACTGTCTGCGTGGGTTCTGTCAGTGTGGGACAGTTGTCGTTGGTGTCTTCAACGGCGATACGGATGGTGCCAGTGATGGTTTTTCTAAGATCATCTTAAAAATAAGAGAGAAAAATATGTACATTCTGTTCCTATTGATGACAACAGACATAGTTTGAATTCCCCTGCCAATTTCGAGTGGAGAAGGTACTAACCACTTAGGACATTTTCTAACCTAGATACGTTTCAAACTTGGACCAAGTCATATCTTCCACCCACTTACCAAGTAGAAATCAGGTTTATCTACTGGAGAATTTAGGTGCTTTTTTCATCTTATTAAAATTTTTTTTTAAACATCTATTTTTAAATTTTACCTACCCCTCCTTTTTTAAATTTAAGATGGTGCCTTGCTGTATTGTCCAGGCTGGTCTCAAACTCCTGGGCCCAAGAGATCCTACCACCTCAGATGCCTGAGTAGCTGGGATTATAGATACAAGTCACTGTGCTTGCTTGGCTGAGACTAGATTTTTATATATGATCAAAACAAAGGTTTCTGATGTTGGAAAATAAAAATCTAAATATATATAACCAAGAAAAACATCTATTAATAACTTACCTTCTGATATAGCCAAAATTTTTATAGTGTATGTGCCATTTTGGACATATCTAGATTCAAAATCGGGAATTTTTGCAAGTTTAATTTCAGATGTTACAGAATCCAGAGAAATCCAATTATCTCTATCTTCCAATTTTACATATCTGTCATAAAACAAACATAAAATTAATTTTGAATTCTGCATGAATTGGCAATCTCTAACATCTACAGCTCTTTCAGGCTTACTTTTCTTCTCATTAAATATGTTCTTATTACAGGCATTTGTTTTGAATATTTTTAATTTCATAAAACCATCCTAAAAGCCCCTCTCTTTCCTGCATGCTACACTTAAATTGGACCTTCCTTATTCTTGTAACATACGCAAGACATAAAACTAAGGGTTATTCTCCTGGGCCCACTAACCTAAGTTTTTAAGTTGCTCTGCAGTCTGTCCTATGGCATTCCATTTAGTCTCCCTTAAATTTGGGTTAAACTTTTGGGGAATAACTTAGTCACACAATTAGGACTGGTAGAGAAGAGCAATCTTATGTTCTATTGTTTATTGGGGGTGCTAGCAACATTTACAAACATCAGCTTTAAAAATAAATGATCACAGGGGCTTGGCATGGTGGCTCACACCTGTAATCCCAGCACTTTGGGAGGCTGAGGAGGGTGGATCACTTGAGGTCAGGAGTTTAAGACAAGCCTGACCAACATGATGAAACCCTATCTCTACTAAAAATACAAAAATTATCTGGGCATGGTGGTCGGCACCTGTAATCACGGCTACTTGGGAGGCTGAAGCAGGAGAATTGCTGGAACCTGGGAGGCGGAGGTTGCAGTGAGCTGAGATTGCGCCGCTGCATTCCAGCCTGGGTAACAGAGCAAGACTCTGTCTCAAAAAAGCAAACAAAACCCCCCAAAAAAACAAAACTATACATCATTCAAGTAGCATAGCTGCTTACATGCTATGTCAAAGATCAATAAACAGGTGATACATATGAATAATCAATAAAACAGTAAATTATGACAAAGAGGCTGGAGTGCAATGGTGTGATTGCAACTCACCAGAACCTTGAACTCCTCAGCTTAAGCAATTCCCCTGCCTCAGCCTCCCCAGTAGCAGGGACTACAAGCATGTGCCATCACGCCTGGCTAATTAAAAAAAAAATATATATATATATATATTTTTGTAGAGACACAAGGTCTTGTTGTATTGTCCAGGTTGGTCTCGAACTCTTGGCCTCAAGTGATCCTTCTGCCTTGGATTCTTGAGTGCTGAGATTCCAGGCATGAGCCTACCATTCTCAGTCACTTATTAATGTTTCAAAATAACAGCCACTAATTAGTTGGGGGAACATTTGGAAAATCATTTAACTTGGCTGTGCGTCTATTCCTTATCTGTAAAATAATAGGTTCAAACTGGTCTTTAAGATCTTTTCTTTCTAAAATTCTGTAATTGTGTGCTAAAGAATACAATAAAACACTAAGAAATAAAAGAGGCATGGTTCATTATTCTTCCAGGCAGAACACATAACCTTTTGATATATTCACAGCTCCTGGAAAAAAAACAGCAGCCAAAAGTAAATAATTTGGTGGGAAACAGAAGCTTCAATAGGTGGCCACATATTATCAGTATATAATTAGTTTGAACATATAAGCTTCTCTGTAGACAGCAATGAGAAATGATCATATAGAAAATTCATCCTCAATTTTGGGAATTCAGTTAGGGCATACAGTCTTGTGAGATATAGGGCTGAGAAAATTAAAACTAGACCATATAACTCAAGAGAAGCAGGGCGGGCCAAAGAATGTCACCAAGGCATTGCAGAAAACACAGTGGAAGCTGTTTGCTAACATTGTTTTGGGGGGGAAAAAAACATTATTTAAGGAATTGAATTAAAAGGAGATTCACTAAAAGGAAAAGGGTTGTTGAAGAGTTTCTTCCACATTTTCATTCTTGCTACACTTGGCAACGCACTTAAATACAATGTTTCATGAAGTACTGGCACACAGGGACTGCTACGGTTTTAATGTTTGTAACCCTCTGAAATTCTTATGTTGGAGCCTAACACCCAATGTGATAATATTAAGAGGGACCTTTGGTAAGCGATTAAGTCATGAGGGTTACACCCTTATGAATGGAATTAGTGCTCTTAAAAAAGACACTCCATCAAAAAGTGGGTGAAGGATATGAACAGACACTTCTCAAAAGAAGACATCTATGCAGCCAACAAACATACGAAAAAAAGCTCTTTATCACTGGTCATTAGAGAAATGCAAATCAAAACCACATTGAGATACCATCTCATGCCAGTTAGAATGGTGATCATTAAAAAGCCAGGAGACAACAGATGCTGGAGAGGATGTGGAGAAATAGGAATGCTTTTACATTGCTGGTGATAGTGCGAAGTAGTTCAACCATTGTGGGAGATAATGTGGCGATTCCTCAAGGATCTAGAACTAGAAATACCGTTTGACCCAGCAATCCCATTACTAGGTATATACCCAAAGGATTATAAATCATTCTGCTATAAAAACACATGCACACGTATGTTTATTGCGGCACTGTTCGCAATAGTGAAGACAGGGAACCAACCCAAATGTCCATCAATGATAGACTGGATAAAGAAGATGTGGTGCATATACACTGTGGAATACTATGCAGCTGTGAAAAAGGATGAGTTCGTGTCTTTTGCAGGAACATGGATGAAGCTGGAAACCATCATTCTCAGCAAACTAACACAGGAAAAGAAAAGCAAACACCGCATGTTCTCACTCACAAGTGGGAGCTGAACGAGAACACACTGACACAGGGAGGGGAACATCACACACTGGGGCCTATAGGGGGCTGGAGGGCTAGGGAAGAGATAGCATTGGGCGAAATACCTAATGCAGATGATGGGCTGATGGGTGCAGCAAACCACTATGGCATGTATATACCTATGTAACAAATCTGCATGTTCTTCACATGTATCCCAGAACTTAAAGTATAATTTAAAAAATCAAAAAAACAAAAAGAGACTCTAATGAGTTTTCTTGCTCCTTTGGCCATGTGAGGATGCAGCAAGATGGTACCATCTTGGAAGCAGACAGCGAGACTCAGCAGACACCAAATCTGTTGGCTGGTGCCTTAATGGACTTCCCAGCCTTCAGAACTGTGAGTAACAAATCTGTTGTTTATAAATGACTCAGTCTAATGTATTTTTGCTATGGCAGCTCAAATGGACTAAGACAGGGACATAGGTGTGTAAGGACACTCAAGTAACCAGGCAGCTCTGGCACTGAGTAGGAGGTCACCAAAGTTGTGTCTAGGATATCAGGTGGGGATTCTTTAAATTCCACTGCAGTATGAATTTAATGTATGATTCAGTAACTCTAGTTGCTGAATTCCATAATTCCATAAATGACAGCTCTGTAGAGAATGATCTTTCCACAGCATGGCACTGAGATTTAAGATGTAAATTTACTTTGAAAATTTAAAAGTATCACACAATAAGGTGCCACTACAGAGTGGACACAAGCAGCCTCTTCCAATACAGTGAGCATCTTGTAGGTTCTCAGTAAATGTATTCTGAGTAAAGGTCACTATGGTCAAGACAAACACAGTGTAAAAAGCACATTAATCTCTGAAATATGTAGGTTTAAATGAAGATTCATCCTCAAGATTTATGCATAAGTAGAGCTGGCTTCCCTATATTAAAATGCATTACCTAACTTGTGTAAAGTAAATCTTGTGGATGTTAGCTGCTATGTTCTTGCCCTCCGCTAATAATCTTTAAGGAAATAAGACAGATTTTAAAAAGTTTTTTTCTTGAACTTTTCCTTTGTTGCCTTCAGCTGTCTCTAGCCAGGACTGTTTCAGAGGTGAGTAAAGCAGCTTCCTCCTCACACACAGGTGGTTGAGGAAAGTGGATTCTGGTGAAAATTCCCCCTCATCTCTCAGGTATAGACACATCTTTGGAAAATTTAATTTATAGACCTTTGGGGGAACTATAATGCTGGATTTGAAGGAATGAATTATTCATATTTCATTATGATTTTTGAAAACAGGCACTGAAAATAATTTAAAAGAAAGAAATACACGTGTCTCTCTCTTACCTTGCACGGGCTAGTAGTCCAGTGTCCTCATCAAAAGCTTGAAATTTTCCAATTACTTGGCCTTTGCTTGACCTTTCCATGCTCTCACTAGCATAAATTGTGATGACGTTGCTTTTAAAATGAATGCCTTCTTTCACATTTTTCACTTTGACCTTGATGGGAATGGATGTAGGCTTGTATTTACTCCTAATTGACTTGTGAAAAGCAGCTTTATTAGTGACAATAATACTGAAGTCAAGATTCTTCATTTCTTCATAATCTACTTCCTAAAAGGGAAAACCAAAGGGAATTCTTTTCAAAGAGAAAACAGAAGACACACACACACACACACACACACACACGTGTGGTTTTAATGTTAGATATAATAATTCAACACATGAGAAATAGAGCAGCACTGAATAGTCCAACTCTTATATTGACACCAAGAAAATAAAAATTCTCTGTCAATCTGGATATTCACAAATATTTAGGAAGTGTTACTAATTTATTTTTCTAAATGTTGAAATCATTGTAAAAATAGACACATTTTGTTCAGGCATGGTGACTCATGCCTGTAATCCCAGCACTTTGGGAAGCCAAGGCAGGTGGATCACTTGAGCCCAGAAGTTTGAGACCAGCCTGGGCAACAGAGGGAGTTCCCACCTCTACAAAAAATACAATCATCACTATGGTCCAGTTTTAGAACACTCCCATCACCCCCAAAAGCTCCTTTACGTGTGTTTGTAGTCAGTCCCCACTCACACTCCCCACTCCAAGCAATCCCAATCTGCTTTCTATTCCCATTGTTTTGCCTTTTCTAAAAATTTCAAGTAAATGGAATTATACGATATGTATTTTGTGTCTGGCTCCTTATACATAGCATAATGAACAAATTTTTTTTTTTTTTTTTTTTTTTTTTTTTTTTTTTTGATGGAGTCTTGCTCTGTCTCCCAGGCTGGGATGCAGTGATGTGATTGATGTTGGCTCACAGCAACCTCCGCATCCCAGGTTCAAGCAATTCTCCTGCTTCAGCCTCCCAAGCAGCTAGAATTACAGGCAAGTACCACCCCACCTGGCTAATTTTTATATTTTTAGTAGAGATAGGGTTTTACCATGTTGCCCACGCTGGTCTCAAACTCCTGAGGTCAGCTGATCCACCCACCTTGGCCTCCCAAAGTGCTGGGATTACAGGTGTGAACCACCATTCCCTGCTCATAGCATAATGTTTTTGAGGTTCATCCATGTTGTAACTTGTATCAGTACTTCATTCCTTTTTATTGCTCATTAGTATTCCATCAGGTGAATATACCACATTCTATTTATCCAGCTGATGGACATTTGGACTGCTATTAGTTTTTTTTTTTATTATTATGAATAGTGCTGCTATGAACATTTGCAGACACGTCTTTGTACAGACATGTTTTTATTTCTCTTGGGTGGAAACCTAGGAATCAAATCACTGGATCATAGAGTAACTACTCCTGTGTAACTTGTAAAAGAAAGTGCCAAATTGCCTGTATCATTTTACAATTCCACCAGCAATCCAGTTTCTCTATATTTTTGCCAATATATAGAAAAACAATGGTGTTGTCAATCTTTTTGATTGCTATTGTCTGAATGTTTGTGTCCCCCTAAAATTCATATGCTGAAATCTTGACTCTCAAAGTGATGATATTAAAAGTGGGGATTTTGGGATACCTGGTGGAGCTTGTTGGATGTTACACTACATGACGATACAAGAAGGCGCTGTGTGTGAGCCAGAAAGTGGGACCCGCCCAGATACTCAATCTGCTTTGATCTTGGGCTTTCCAGCCTCCAGAACTGTGAGAAATAAATTTCTGTTGCTAATAGGCTACCCACATTATGGCATTTTGTTATAGCAGCCCAAACAGACTAAGACAGCGATTTCTGGCATGCTAGAAGGTATAGTGGTATCTCTTATAGTTTTAATTTGATTTTCCCTTTTGACTAATGATGTTGGGCACCTTTTCATGTGGGTATTTGCTACTTGTATATCTTTTTTGTCTAAATTCCTTTCAGTGGAATCTGATTACTGCCCTTATAATTTGGAAGCAATTCATTATGTAATTGAGACGGTGACTTTGTAATTTTTTCACTCGGTTGCTTTCATTGTAATACTCATTTTACTATTTTTTGAATCCACATCCCTCTTGATAGAAGTAACTATATCACCTTTTTTGTGCTATCATGGTACACTAAAAATAGAGTCATGCATCACTTAACGATTTGAGAAATGAGAAATGCATTGTCAGGCAATTTTGTTGAGGTGCAAACATCACAGAGTGCTTACACAGACCTCGATGGTAAAGCCTACTACACACCTACACTAGAAGGTAGAGCCTATTGCTCCTGTGCTACAAACCTGTATCACATCTTACTGTCCTGAATATTGTAGGTAATTGTAACACAATAGAAAGTATTTGTATATTTAAACATGCTTAAACTTAGAACAGGTATAGTAAAAATATGATAGTAAAGATTTAAAAAATGGTACAGCTGTATAGGCACTCACCACAAGTGGTGCTTGCAAGACTAAAAGTTACTCTGAGTGCGTGAGTGGGGAACGGATACGAAGGCCCAGCACATTACTGTACACTACTGTAGACTGTAATTCTGCACCTAGGCTACACTAAATTAAAAAAAAATTTCTTTCCCTAATAATAAATTTGCCTTAGCTTACTGTAATTTCTTTACATAACTTATTAATATTTTTAAACTTTTTGACTCGTTTGTAATGATTCTTAGCCTAAAACACAAACACACTGCACAGCTATAGAAAAATATTTTCTTTCTTTACAACCTTACTCTGTGTATTTTTCAGCTCCATTATAATTTTACGGGGCCATTGTCATGTATGTAGTCTGTCACTTACTGTTCTTATGTGACACACGACAATTCTATGCTAGCACCTCTGTCATTCATTAATATCTGACTGTTTCTCCTTATGTGTGCAATTAATTGGCTTTCCTATCTCAGGTATCTGGCATGGCTGTACCTGTAACTGATGACTAAAAATTATATTTCTACACAAGCAGATAAACTGATTTTGCCTTGAATGACATGATCCATTTCTTCAATAATCACAAGACGTCTTCCCTTTAAACATGAAGGAATATTATTCAATTTTCCTCTGCTTTGAAAAAGGTAGCTGAAATGCATATGCTAGCTCTCAATAAATGGTGCTCATAATTATTATCATGAAACTTCAAGTTAATTCTTCTGTATTCTGTTGTACATTTATATCTATATTATTCCTCTTTCCACTGTCAGAGTTTTACCCAGTCTGCTATATATCATGTTTTTTAAGAATTTTGAAACTTCTGGAATCAATTTTTGCCTGCGTGTGATTTAATGAAATAGTATTTTGAAAGCTATAGCTTTGCATTTTATTTTAAAACCTCCTAAGGCAATTCTAACATAAGACACTTAAAATACATTGATATTATTCCTTACCAATTTTGTTACATACAAATCCATCCTGTAATTTTTGTTTAAAAAGTTCCGTGAGAGTTACGAGTGTATGATATAACTGCTTAATATCCCTATTTAGTTCAGTTTTTCCTTCACTGATTCAATTAAGCACAAGAACTTAGTATATTTCTAAATGTGGGCCTCAAATGACTTATATTAGAATCACAAGTGGATTTTTGTTAAAAAGACAAGTTCCTGAGACCTGCCCAGTGAAACTTTTTGAAGATGAGACTAGGAACCCGCATTTTTGGCATATAGTTTTATGAGGTGATTCTTAGGAATACTTAACTATTAAGTTATCATAGCTTTTACTTTTAGATGTTATTAGTGAGGTCTGGATTTACTGGTTTTGTTTCAGTCTTCGTTTTTTTTTGTTTGTTTGTTTTGAGACAGGGTCTCATTCTGTTGCTCAGGCTGGAGTGCAGCGGTGTGATCATGGCTCACTGCAGCCTCCGCCTCCTGGGGTCAAGCTATCCTGCCACTTAATAAGCCTCCTGAGTAGTTGGGACTACAGGCATGTGCCACCACACCCAGCTAATTTTTGTATATATATATATTTTTTTTTTTTGGTAGAAGTGGGGATTTTCCATGTTGCCCAGGCTGGTCTTGAACTCCTGGACTCAAGCGATCTGCCTGCCTTGGCTTCTCAAAGTATGGGCCTGGCTTTACTGTTAAGTAGATAAAATAAGAGGTAGTAATTGAGGGGACACTCAATAGAGGCACGAGGTCATAATATGAGAGTGTGATTGCCAGGCATGAGGTTCAACAAAGTCTGGAAATGTGCTGAGCAGTAATGATGCTAGTACCATGCTGTCTGGCTAGGATTAGAGTCCCCTGATCTGAATTTGAACCATAGTGTGACCATTTCCTAACTGCAGAACTTGGGCAAATAGGGATGGCCCCTTTCTCAAACAACTGTAGTGCTAGTTAATTGAGCATGTAAAGCACTTGTAAATGTTCAGGGCTCAAATATATTAGATTCCTCTCCAGCACCAACTTGGCCCATGCCAGTTTTGAATACTTAGTTCTTACCTTAATAAGGGTCACAATTCCTTCATTAGTTTGAGCATCTGTTTCTATGTGGAAATAACCTCCTTCATTTCCTGATGCAAATGTAAAATTTGCTAACCAATTATCAGAACCTATTTCATCTGCATCAAACACTTTTATGCGTATAACTTCTACATTGACTTGATTTTCTTCAACTATCCCTTCAAGCTGCAAAACACGAACACATGATTTTTATTTCAATGAAATACAAATATAAGTGAAATATTTTTACTTAGGACTAAAATATGAATAGGTAGAGTTACTGTAAGAATAATAGTTACCATTTTATTTTCCACTACAGGTATATTATCATTGACATCCAAAATACGAATCTGAACTTGAGCTTGTTTCACAGGTTTGTCTGTGACTTCTCCATTGCCATCTCTTGCTTCCACCGTCAAGGTGTAGCTGCTGTGTTCCTGCAGAGCAATGAAAAATGTCCAGCTGGGGTAAAAAGAGTCACTCTCAAATCTGGCTTTCTGGTTTTAGTCCAGTTTATCATGGGACCGCAGTATATTTTATTTACAAATCGGGTTTACGATCTGTTATTATTTGTGTGAAGATACTGTTTACTTGCAGTCAGAGCTTTTGTAGAAGAACAGAAAAGTCTCAGGAGTTGTAGGTAGTCAAATTCTTAAATATGTCATTGGTTTTATGAGGAGATAGTGTGCACAAAGGAGCCATTGTTCAAAATGTAGTTTATTCTCTGCTGAGAGTGAGGTGGAACTGTTGGAATTGGGTTGTTCTGCCCTGCACTTCATCCTCAGCTAGGAAAACCAGCTCCTAAATAAACTTAGCTAGTGAAGACAAAATTGAATGAACTTTGTCCAGAATTCCCCAGAAATTTGATTCTATTTATTTATTTATTTATTTTTTGAGGCAGAGTCTGGCTCTGTTGCCCAGGCTGGAGTGCAGTGGCTCGATCTCAGCTCACTGCAACCTCTGTCTACTGGGTTCAAGTAATTCTCATGCCTCAGCCTCCTGAGTAGCTGGGATTATACGTGCGCACCATCACGCCCAGCTAATTTTTATATTTTTCGTAGAGATTGGGTTTCCCACGTTGGTCAGGCTGGACTCAAACTTCTGACCTCGTGATCCTCCTGCCTTGGTCTCCCAAAGTGCTGGGATCACAGGTGTGAGCCATTGTGCCTGGCCAAGACTTGGTTCTTATAGTATGTGTCCTAGAGAACAGCTTCTGAGACGTCGCTTCTTCTCTTTCATGAGGTCCCCTTACTATGGTTCTGTTCAGCGTGGCTGGGGCTTAAGGAGGGCAGGTAGTGTCAGTGCTTGGGGTCCTGCGTAGGGCAGAAACACTCAGCGCACAGGACACCGGGACCCTGGAGTCAGCTGCCTGGTTTCCAATTCTGGCCTCGTCACTTACTGGCTGTGTTGGGCATGCACTTAATCCCTTGGACCTTTGGGTTCTTTCTGAGTAAGACAGGGTAACAAGTGAATATGCCTCATAGGGTTTCTATGTGGATTAAATGGGTTAATCCATAAAAAGGCTCAGAACAGCACCTGGTAGAGGGTAAATGCCCAGTAAGTTAACAGCCATTATTATTGGAGAAAGTTTCTATCCTTTAGAAACAGCAGTTTGTTAAATGTCACACTACTGATGCAAAGTAGCACCTTTCCATTCTAATTCTATGTGAAAAGGTGTAGAGTAGAATTTTGGTGTAATCATATTCTTTAATTTTGTAAACATCCCATTAAGCATGTTGGGCACAATCCTTCCAATTTGGGCAGAATTCAATCATTTTTTCTAAGAAATACTGAACATAGTGCACCTGGATGATTTCTATTTGATGACAAAGAGTGTACTTCAGGATCAATACCACTTTACTCTTGTATACTGTTAAAACCTTTATGTATATAGCATTGAAAAAATCTTCTATCACCCCTTTTTATTTAAAAATTTCCCTTTGAGGCTGGGCACAGTGGCTCACGCCTGTAATCCCAGCACTTTGGGAGGCTGAGGAGGGTGGATCATGAGGTGAGGAGTTCAAGACCAGCCTGGCCATGATGGTGAAACCCCGTCTCTATGAAAAATACAAAAATTAGCTAGGCGTGGTGGCATGCGCCTTGTAATCCTAGATACTTAGGAGGCTGAGGTAGAGAATTTTTTGAACCCCGGAGGTGGAGGTTGCAGTGAGCCAAGATCATGCCCCTGCATTCCAGCCTGGGCGACAGAGTGAGACTCTGTCTCAAAAAAAAAAAAAATAAATAAATTCCCTTTGAGTTAGAAATAATAAAGTGAAATGTTCAAAAAATGCCTTCCTAGAAAACCTACTCAAATTTTCCTTTAATTTGGGATTTAGAGTAATTCTCTCCATTACAAATACTTTTATTTTCTAACTGGGATTCCTGTTTTCACCCCTTCCCTCACTGCCTCTTGTGTAGAGCAGTGGAGGAGACTCCTAATGTTTCACTAGAGAACTGCAAACTGAGAAATGCTGTTTTAGCGATCTTTAGTAAAGAGTATTCTGATAGGATAGGTCCTAGAATGGTGCTGTCCTTATGTAATTTTAAATCTTCTAGTAGCCACATTTTAAAAAGAAATGTGATAATTTTAAACAAGTATATTTTATTTAATCCATGATATCCACACATTATTTTAACATGCAATGATCACAAAAAAGGTCATATTTTGCATTTTTTTAATACTAAGTTTTTCAAATCTGGTGGATATATTATTACAAACTCAATATGCATGTGGCACATTACAATTTGGGCCAGTCACATTTTAAGCATGCAATAGTCACATATGGTTAATGGCCCATATTGGACAGCACATCCCTAAAAGAGAGTAATTCCAAGAGTTATCCTATGGATAAGGAATATAGAACAAAATAAGAAAATTGGAAAAGAAAAAGAGAGGAGAAACTGGAAAGGAAAGGGTGTTTAAAGATGGGCTACATAAGATATTAATTTACCTCTCTGTCCAAGGTAACACTGGTCGTATAAATCTCTCCTGTATCTTTATTTAGGTAGAACACTGGAGGATAAGCAGGCTCCAGAGATACAATTCTATAGGAAATTTTAGAATTCAGGGTATTGGGCTCATCTGCATCTGTTGCGTTGATTTTCATCACAAGTGTGTCTGGCATTAGAAATAAAGATGTCCAAGATGAAACTCAACTTTAAGCACACTTACCTGTTGTTATTTTATTTATAATTTTACCTTGTTCCAAAAAAGATTTCAGGTGCTTATTAAAAATCGCATATAGATGACCACAATATACATTGCACTGGATGAGGACATAAGCATGAATGGAATACAACAGTAGGAAAAACAGGATGAAGGCAAGGCTGAGAGTGGAGTCCTGAAAAATTGCTATGTAAGATGACAGATTTGTTTATAATAGTATTAGTAGCCAATACAAAGAAAGTAACACGAGCAGGTACATGATCCTGATATTTAATAAGACACAAACAAATCAGAAGCATAACTATTCTTTTTTTTTTTTTTTTTTGAGGGGGAGTCTTGCTCTGTCACCCAGGCTAGAGTGCAATGGTGTGATCTCAGCTCACGGTAACCTCTGCTTCCTGGTTCTAGAGATTCTTCTGCCTCAGCCTCCTGAGTAGCTGGGATTACAGGCACCTGCCACCCCATCTGGCTAATTTCTGTATTTTTAGTAGAGATGGGGTTTCACCATGTTGGTCAGGATGGTCTTGAACTCCTGACCTCCCAAAGTGCTGGGATTACAGATGTGAGCCACCGCACCTGGCCAACTAGTCTTGATATCATAATCAAAAAGAAATCTCTCATTCCAGTCCTCATGAAGAGCACTGTATCAACAATGTTGCGAATAAACCTTAGAGTTAAAATAACATGTTTACAGGTCAGCAAACTACAGCCAAAACTGTAGGGCCAAAGCTCACCAGCCACCTGTTTTTGTAAATAAAGTTTTATTGGAACACAGCAAGGCTCTTTTGTTTACATATTGTTTATGGTGCTTTCCTGCAGAGAGCAGAATTGAGTAGTTGATACAGAGACCTTATCTGTCACATTAATATACCATATCTGTACTGAGGGTAAAAACAATGGCATGTAAAGTCCATTAAACTTATAAGGAAAGCAGTTCTGAATCTAGAGTGAAAGGTTTCTTACAATTTGTTCTGTAGGTAATACTCAACTTTCATTAAGATATGAAATTTCATGTTTATTTACAGTGGGGATAAAGTAGTGGGGATAAAGTAATCTTAGGTATTTATTCATTAAAAAAAAAAACAAAACCACTTACTTGCCACACTTAGCTCTTCAACAGACCCAAAGAAGACATCCTGTGTGAACACTGGTTCGTTGTCATTGATATCAAGAACCTTAATGCGTAGGTCTAAGGGTTTCTCTATATCGACTCCTCTTTCATTTAAAGCATAACCTGTTAGCTGAAATCATGACACAAATAATAAATAAGATTAGATTTAAGCTAAGAAAACGGAATTACCATACTATGAAAAAAATAAAACATATGCTACTTATTGCAAAAGAAAAGCTACAAACTAATAAATGTAAAATTATTCTTCTTACCAGAAAAAATGGTGTTTCTTCTCGATCAAGAATGCTGGTAACATTCAGTTCTCCAGTGTCTTTATTAAAGACAAATATACCAAACGGTGGCTCTGTAATCCCTTTTCCAGTGTATTTGTAAGTAATTTTTAGTCCTCCTTCTTCTGCAAGATCAGAGTGTATCTAACAGAAAAATAACAGGAATGTTTCAGGTTGAACTCTCTGTAATTTACTAGATTTGATCTTAGCCAAAAGCCTGATAAGTGATTCTCTATAATTTACAGGTAAATATTTTTATGGACAATTTCCTTCTGAAGTTCTTTGGTAATACAGGCCAGAGATGCCATGACTTGGACTAGGGGAATGGCAGTGGAGTTGAAGAGAAGATTTGAAATACATTTCTGGAATTGCACTGATAGAATGTGCTACATTTTTGGCTTGAAAAATTGGATAGAATTATAGCATCACTTACCAAAATGGGTAGAATTTATAAAGGAAAGCTTTAGGGGTAAAAAAAAATGAAGGGTTCATGTTTGTGCATGTCATTGAAATACAGAGTGGCAACATTTTCACATAATTTATCAAAAAAATTCAACCCTTTGAGAGTGAAAACATAGATATCATAAGCCAGGACAACAGGCATAAAGCATGACTGTCTCAGGCAAATGAGGATGGTCACCCTACCTCATAGAGACACCAGTTCATCTTGAAAATGACATTTTATGACATCTTTTGAGCACTGAACACTCCATGTTACCAGTGCCAGATCCTTTTACTCTTGGTTAAATCAAAACTCAAAGTTACCTATATTTTTGCCAATGCAAGATTTTGCATATTCCGGAATGGGAAAGAGAATCTTAACGTTGATACTTTATGCTGTAAAGTAAGCTCTGCTAATTTTCAGATGTATCCTGAATATTTAAAAATTCAGTAAGCACATTATGTAATTTTCCTTAAAGCAGGCATAAAAGTCCTCTCATACCGCATTTTAGTCATATGTATGTATTTCGTGCTCCTCTTTAGGAGGTACCTTGGCAATTGGATTCTTTTTGGACAGGTCCTCTCCCTCCCGAAGAGCCACGGGGGCGGTGATCCAGGCGCGCTTTTGTCGCGCTAAATGAGGATGTTTAGGAAGCAGATTATTTCCATTTCTTGTGTTTAAGACCTACAACAATAGAATATTGTCAACAATGTATTATGTGTCATAAACTTAGAACAGTAGTATGGTGTCTTATAACATATTAAACTTTTAAATACTGCAAATTTTAAGGTTTGCTTCGTATTTCCCATGAGGGTTCATTTTCTAAAAGGAAATATATATATATTCCAGCAAATTGCATAGGCCCCCAAGAGATTGTCTCCAAGCGGGTAAAGCAGTAGGGTTTTTTTTTAATTTTTATTTTTTATTTTGAGACAGGGTCTCGCTTTGTTACCTAGGCTAGAGTGCAGTGGCACGATCTTGGTTCATGATAGCCTTGACTTCCATAGCTTAAGCCATCCTCTTGCCTCAGCCTCCCAAGAAGCTGGTATCACAGGTGTACACCACCACACCTGGCTAATTTTTGTATTTTTAGTAGAGACGAGGTTTCAGCATGTTGCCTAGGCTGGTCTCGAACTTAGACTCAAGCCTCAACCGATCTACCTGCCTCTGTCTCCCAAAGTGTTGGGATTACAAGTCTCAGCCACTGTTCCTAGCCAGTAGAATTTTGTTTTTAACAGTAAGAAATTATTTCCCAGAGTGAGAGTTTGAAAAGTTTAAAGAATCATTTGGTAGCCTTACAAATTGGCAAAGTAAGAAAAAACAGATCATGTCAAAAACGTTTTTTCTTATTAACTGAAAATAAAGTCTCATTTTTCTGTGGTGGTTTGTGGTTTAAAAATAAATTACTAAATTTTTAAAAGACTAAATCTTAGTAATCTATTGATATAAATTTGACTAAAACTAGGGAAACTGCCATTTAATAAATTTATTGTTTTCAGGATTGAGTGAAGAATTAAATTTCCCATTTCATTTTCAGAACTTTAGGCAGAAAACTGTTTTGTAAATTTTCAGTTGGGTTTATAGGCAAATATATATTTTATTCAGGAAAAATTTCAATATAGCTGACCTGAAATCTTAAGATCAGAAATAATCCTTATATTAGGTTTGTTTTGTCATTTTACTCATTTTGCTGTCTATATAATAGGTATTTTACTTCAAAATATTTACACTGCTTATTACTAGGTCATTGTTTTTTTTCTTGAACAAAATTTTCTATAACAAAAAATTGAAATGACTTTTCACTTATACTTCAAAAGGTATTCATTGTTAACAGCTTGATTAATATCTTTTATGATTTTTCATAACTATACAGTTATGCATATATACATAGATGTATAAAGGTCTTTTTGCTATAAAATGGACTTATACTACATATCTTATTTTGCCCACTGATTTTCATTCAGCACCTCATCATGAACATTCTTCCATGTACCACAAATGGTTTTAACATTCACCTATTGGTGGATATTTACATTGTCAAAAGCTGCTGCACTGATCGCCCCTGGATAAGCTCCTCTGCACTTGTTTGAATGGAAATGGCTGGGTCTAATACAATGTGTGTTTTTAATCTAGTAAAGCCCAGCCAACCTGTTTGCCATGGAATTAAGTCTCCTGAGTCAAAAGGCAGAAAACAATCCCTTTGTTTCCTCACCTGTAAGTGAAGTCCACTTCCAACGTTAAAGCAGATCTGTAAAATAAAATTATTTAATTGATATTTAGCCAATTTACTGCTCAATTCAGTGTGAAAACATTGTTCATGAATAACCTACCACACTGAATATTATAGACATTAAAAAAAAATTTAACCACTACTACTATCCTTTGTCAAGGGGAAACAAATTTAATTTTTCCCTTTGCCTTCCCTAATGACCAATCCCAGAAGATAAATCTATATTCTCCTTGATCCATACTGACTGCTCCAGAAAACAGTATCTTAAACAAACAAAATAATCTGCTTTATGAAATCTTAGTCATTCTCTCAACTTTTCTCCTCATCCTATTTTTTCTTTTTGAGATGGAGTCTTGCTCTGTTGCCCAAGCTGGAATGCAGTGGCACGATCTCGGCTCACTGCAACCTCTGCCTCCTGGGTTCAAGCATTTCTCCTCCCTCAGCTTCGTAAGCAGCTGGATTACAGGTGGCCGCCACCATGCCCTGCTCATTTTTGTATTTTTAGCAGAGATGGGGTTTCACCGTGTTGGCCAGGCTGGTCTTGAACTCCTGACCTCAGGTGATCCTCCTGCCCCAGCGTCCCAAAGTGCTGCGATTACAGGCCTGAGCCACTATGCCCGGCCCATCCTATGGTTTCTATCTTGTGTTCTCCAGGACCTGCTTACCTTTCCTCAAGGCCACCAGTATGTAATGTACCCACACCCAGCTAACTCCCTGTGGGTGTGTGAGCGTACACACACACACACACACACACACGCACACACACACACACACACGGACAGCTCATCTCCTGACTTCTTGGTTCCTCAGTATCCTCAGTCCCATCAGCTCTTTTCTTTGGTTCTTCACTGGCACTGTCATATTTGGGACTTCATCATGACATAGTACTGTTCTAAATGCAGTTATGCTTACACTTAAATTTGCCCAATAAACTCCCATCTAGCTTTTTCAATATTTTGCACTTAAAAATTATTTTAAAAATTGATGCATGAAAGAAGTGCATAATTTTGGAATACATGTGATAATACACTCATGTAATTTGTAAAGATCAAATTAGTATACTTGGGATGTCAATCGGCTTAAATACTTGTCTTTTCATCATGCTAGAAACATTCAAGTAATTCTCTTCTAGCTGCTTGGAAATGTATAATAGGTTATTGTAAACTATAGTCACCCTGCTGATGTATCAAACACTAGGTCTTATTTCTTCTATCAAACCATATATTTGTACCCATTAATCAGTTTCTTTTCTTCCCCCACCTCCCCACTACCTTTCCCAGTTTCTGGCTTCTATCATTCTATTCTCTATGCCCATAAGATCAAAATTTTTAGCTCCCAGATATGACTGAGAATATGTTGTATTTGTCTTTCTGTGCCTGGCTTATTTCAGTTAACATAATGACCTCCAGTTCTAGTCATGCTGTTGTGCTTACAGTCCATTAATCTCCCTGCTGGCTTCGCTCTTTGCTTGGCTCAGTCTGAACCAGCACTTTCTAATATGGTAGCTACCTGTGACTATTTGAATTTTAACTGAAATTATTTGAAATGAATAATTCAGTTGCTCAACAGCCACGTGTGCTAAGGGCTACCATTTGGACAGGGCAGACAGAAAACATTTCCATCCCTGCACACAGTTCTATTGGAGAGTGTAGCAGACTGCTGCCTGCCACTCCAAAGATGTCAGTGATCACCAGGGAGCCTTCATTTTCATGATTTTTATGACTCTGCTATTTCTGCCTCACTTTTCCTCTCAACTCTAGAAACCAGCATTCTCTTTAATTCTGACCATGTACTGGGAACATCACTAGAGGAGGCCAGAGTGGCTGAATGGATCCCTTACACATTCATGGTCTCAAATAGCTGCTCCTTCCATGGAGTGGTGGTTCCTTTCTAGTGTGACCATATGTTTGCATTTGCCCAGACGAGTCCAGGTTGACAACTGCTGTGAGGCATTCCATCTGTTAGCCACCCTTTCATCCTTAAAAGTGTGCTCACACTATAAGTTATATTGCCGCCTTGTCATTGCCTTACCCTTATTGCATTTCTACAATAGGCATTCCAAACTTTAGGAGATGACTAGTCACACTTCTGTACCTACTCAGTCTTACGAGATGACCCCACATATTTGACTGAGGCTATCTTCAGTCATCCTCTCCTTCCCTTCTTTCCCAGGGAAGAGGTGTCCTGACTCCTTTATAAGACGAATCACCATTTGTGTCCTTTATTTGCAATTCTATTGTTCTCTCACAATTATCTTCAAAGAACCTGATCCTTCCACTAACCTTTTATCTTCCTTCTCTATTGGCTAATCAACACATTAATTTTCTTCTGATTGGCAAACCAAATATATTTAGGTTTTCCTTATCCTGAAAAAACCAGACCCTACTCTTGTTCCTATTAACAATCTATTGCTCTATATCCCACTCTTACTTATAATTCCAAACTGAAATTATTGTCTATATGCATTGCCCCCAGGACCCCACCTTCCACTGATGCATTAATTCACTGGACTCTTGTCTTTGGTGTAGATTGTCTCAGTTGTTTGCCTTTTCCCATCTGCATGGTCAAATAGATCCATGAAGCCCTAGTTGGTACATCATGGGAAACAGAGAGTTCCCTAAAATTTCAGTCTTTTTCACATCCTTTGCATCTATTTGAAAGTTTCCTGTAGAGTCCATTCCACATGTGAATCCTTCAGCCTCTTTCTTTCTTTTCCATTGTCATTTCAGGTTCTTTGCTCTCCATTCCAAAGAGAAACTCAAGGAGAGCAGAGGTTCAGCTTCTAGTGTGCACTTCTCTGAGGGAGATGAACAATTACGGCCAATTCTCTATTTTATGATCAGATATATGATCTCTTCTTTATTCTGTTTACTATTAACTTGCCCAGCTAGCATGACCAGAGATGTCTCTAACCAAAGTGGTGCTCCCCAAATTTACATATTTTCAAAGGTGGCATGGTATGAAAAGAAAGGGAAAACAATGCTGAGATAGATCACTTTTCTCTGTATGTTGCTGGGGCAGGAATTTTTGAAGGGAAAAATCAGTGCCTGGATCCGAGAGGTCTCAGTGTCCACATCATCAGGGAACGGTCTTAAAATTTAATATAAGAATCTTGTCCATTCTTTTAACCATCAGACTCTTCTCTTTGATACAGGCCATATTAAGGAGTTGGCTGAACTAAATATTTGCTACTTTTACTCTTCCCTACAATCTTACTGGCCTTAGTAAGGGGGTATAATATTATCTGTTATTTTAAGTCGATATTATTATTCTGACCAAATGTCATGTGTTTTATTAGGATATGAGAAAATGGAAGTAATTTATAGTCCTCTAGTCAAAAGTAAAATCATCATATGAGCATCTTCATTGATTTTTATTGGAATTTACTTTCTAGATGTGATCTGCTCAGAAATGCAGAAAATCACATGGTAACAAACAGTGCTTCTTAAACTTTAATGTGTATTTTGTTCGCTGGGGACCTTGTTAAAATGAAGATTCCAATTCAGTAGGTCTAGAGGTCAGCCTTACACTTTGCATTTCTAACAAGGTCTCAGATGATAGCAGTGTGGTTTTTTGCACCAAATTTGAGTAGCAAGATTGTAGAATATAACATGAAATATCATGTGTTTTTTTAGGCACAAACAAGTCAACAAAATCTGCCTTATTCATTATTGTTTCAGTAGTCAGCACAAGAATTTCTGTCACTCTTGACTGCTAATATCTTGAAGGCAGAAACTCATAAAATATATTTCATTAATGCATGCATTTTTAATATTAAAATAATTTTAAATTACAAACATGTATAAAAGCAGAGTAAATAATACAATGAACACCCATAGAGCTAACATCCAGTTTCAACAATTACCTAGCACACATTTTTTTAAAAACATATTTTTACTTAGGAATAATTTTAGATTTACACAAATGTTATAAAATAGTACCAGGAGTTTCTGTCTCCATTTTCCCCATATGTTAACGTCGTAAATATCTACTGTACATTTGTCAAAATTTAGAGATTAACATTGGTGCATTTAGCTAATGAACTGTTAACTAAATTCCACACTTTACTACGATTTTACCATTTCCCCCACTAATGTTCTTTTTCTGTCCCAGGATCCAATCTAGATTCCACATTTGGTTATCACATCTCCTTTGTTTCCTCTGGTTTTTGACAGTTTCCCAATCTTTGTTTCTCGTGACCTTGATGGTTTTGAGGAATACTCTCTGAGTATCCTGCGCAGTGTCCTCCAATTTGGGTTTAGGTTTATCTGTTGTTCTTCTCCTGATTAGATCAGTATTATGCATTTTGGAAAGAACATCACAGAGCTGAAGTGCCCTTTTTAGTGATAAAAAAGTATGTGACCATACTGTCTGGTATGCAACATCCACATGACACCATGGACTAAGGTAGTGATTGCAGTTTCTCCACTGTAAAGTTACTATTTTTCCCTACTCCATTCTTTGGACGTGAGTCATTAAGTCTAGCCCATCCTCAGGTCAGAGGAAACTGGGGAGGAGATTCTGCCAGACAAGTTGCTTTAGTCTGAATTTCCTTATCTGTAACAGGAGAGCAATACATACTCTGACAGACATTTTCAATTGTCTGGCTTCTTGCCATTTTCTGTCATCTTCAATGTTCATGAGACACTATTTTATACTCTCGGGTAGATCCTGCCCAGCTCATGGAGCTGAATGACTGGTATGACAAAGCATGGAACATATGCCTGTTTACGTTGATAGTGGCTGGTTTAGGCATATATGTGTAAGAGAATTTTGGCCAATGGGATATCAGGAGACACTACAAAAGATTGTCCTCACTGATTAGAAGAGAAGCGCATACATAACCTCCCTTTTTAAGTGCCTCTGGGGACTGCTGAGTGAGGACGTGACATTTGGAATAGTTACAGCCATGTCGTGAGCATGAGGGGAAAGCTAACAAAATGCTAGCGAAGCCAAACTGAAACCATCAAGTCTTGAAGTTACAGAATTGTTCAAATACGGAGCCGCTCTCTCTAGAC